TCAAATCAATTATACTGATTCAAAAATTAATAATCAAAATTGCAGTTGAACAATGGTCATAGTAGTCATGGAAAATTAAAATATTCCATTAAATCAGTTAAATCACTAATTCAATGGTTTGTTGATTCAAATGGTCAGGTTAATTAACCCAATTTTTAATACTATGTTTTTTTGGGCCAAAATAATATACTATGCTTTTTAAAAAAGTGAATTTTGTCAAGTTATAATATTTAATCATAATTTTGTTTTGGTAATTTAGTTGCGGACAGAGAAAGAAGGATCATTTAAGGAACAAGGCTAAGAAATTGACAGATGACAGGCTGCTGACAGATGCTATTTTAAAAGCAGCTGTATATATGCTGGCCCAATGAATTAAGGTGCTTGCAGGACCAAAGACATTGATAATATATATATGTGATATGTCTATGACATAGCTCGTGTTTATTTTATAACACGCACATATTTATTTGCCATATGGTTGTATTTATAAATTATCATTCTTATGGGGAGACGATGCCAGTTGCTTTGTTCCTGTATTTATTCAATTACGTACCTTTTACTTCTCTTATAGGACATTGCTGGCTCACACTTTTTGACTTGTTTAGGTGGGTCACCAAGTTTTCTGAGCTGACTTGTGAATTGGGCAACTTATTATAAATATATTTTACTATTTTATACTGTATTATTAGTGGTGAATAATGAAGCCTTTTTCTGCATAATCAGAAATCTTTTCTTTTCGTCAAAATGTTGTGGGCTTGTATGTAGATTGTTATATATATTCTTGAAGAGATGGGAAATAAGGCATTAATTCACACACACACACACACACACATTTGATCCACATGGCTATACAATGTTTATAAGAATCTCACTTATATTAACCAGGAGTGTCTCTTGCTAGTTACTATATTTTCATGTTTGTAGTTTTTTGCTAACTATGCACACATTAGAAATCTAAAATGGGACTAATCTTGACTGCAACTTGTGCATACCAGATCGTTTGAGGCTTAAAATTATCTAATATGGGACTTCTTATATCAATTCAATTCTACATACACTTAGATAACCTATAACCCTAACACTTACCCTTGGGATAAGTTTTACATGTAAAACAGTTTGTGATGAATGAAAAAGAACCTCATATTCATCACTCTTTAAAATATACCTGCTAAAAGAATACCAAATTCATTTTCAGTCGCAGAGATTTAATTCCAATCCTACTCTCAGATTGCTAACAAATCGAAATCTGACTTTGATTCAGTACCCATTGTTGTCCTTTAGAGCGATACTGTTACATTACACACCCACTCTTTTTTGAGCCCTCTCATCATCAGCTTACGTTCTGGTTTATTTTTCGTAGTTGGAAGTTATTGGAAAGGCCTGCTATTACTTAAAAGTATAAAAAGATGCATTTAATGGCTTGTCTGTGTTTTCCCTCACTCTTGATATGTTTGAACATATAAAACCTTTCCGTATGACTAACCCTAAACATTATGTCTCCCTGGATGTGTATGGATGGCCTAAGCAGATTGAAAAAACGCTTCAAGGAAGAAGGCAGTGATTGCATGAGCTTCAAGGAACAGCACCCAGCTTTGCTTGAATAGGGTTATTGTATACATAGAAGCTTCAATGAAGACTTGGATTCAAAGTCCAGTCTCCAAAGCCAATTCATTGCAGAAGCTTCAAGGTACACTTTATGATGAATTTCTATGCTCCAATGATTTTTCCACAAGATTGAGACTTTGGATCCTTGTTGTTTCTGCTGTTATGTCATCGGTATCTGAGTTTTTTGCTGCATAGCGCCATGTTTTTGGTGAGAATATGGAACATCCTAGTGGTGGTGACAGTAATTAAACAAATAAATAATTAAGGAGATTAGGAAATATAATCAAACAAGTGATTGTGTGCTAATGCTTCACATATATAGAGATTTCAATAACTAACAAGGCCCAAGATTTGTTCAATGAGAGTAACTAATGCCTTAATTATTTGCTGCACGAAGTATGCATGCTGTCAAGTGAAGTTCCAAATGGTTTTAAACTTCTGCGTTAAAGGTGTTGATGTATATATGTTTGCTCAAAAACTTGTAAGTGTTGATATGTTAGGTAAGGTAGCCTTCATGTTTAGTGTAATGAGAATCGAGAGAAACTAGTTTGAAGCAGGTCAATTCAACATGAATGGAGGAATAATATAAAAGACGAAATATGAAGTCATTTCTACTTGCAATAAAAGCTAAACTTTTCAAAAAAATTTTCTTAAAATTGTGCTCGCGGATATAATGTTGGAATATTTATGAAATATATATATATATATATATATGAATTTGCATTAATTAAATATTAAACCCAAATAGATTGATTTTATAAACTTATGTAAACTGTGATAAGTGGACAACACAAGTGAGTATGATGAGCAGAGGTTCAATATACAACCTTATAGCTGTCAATTATTCCTTATCTCTTAATTGATTGAATCAAAAATAATGAAAAACTTTAATTTATTAATTAATTGTTAACGTGATTACTAATGTGATCCATATAATGCAATTAGTAGGGTAACCAATACACATGATACATTTTGCCTTATCTCCATTATTTCTGTACTTTCTATAAACTATGGGATCTATGGGTTGTGTCTTGAACTTGTATGGGGTTGACTTTAGAGTATTTCTTGGTTTATAAAATTATTACAACCTAAGTATGAAGAAGAAAGGGGAGAAATTGAAAGATCATACAATATTAATAGTAGTGTATGATAATTTTCATTTGAGGGTAAAGTGTTTTAAATTTTGAACATATAAAGCTATGCTTGTGCCATTGTGAGGGACAGATCCACGAGACAAGGAGAGGTGCTTGCCCCCCACGTCGTACAATTGAAATTGAAAAAACCTGAGATTTTTTACTTGTAAAAATTTTAAAATAGTTTTTTGGCCCTCCACTTCACGTTTTATTTTCAATTAATTACCCCATTCATTTGCTACTAGATCCATCCTCTTGTCAAACATTTGATTTAGCAAACAAGGTTGAAGTTTCGAATTTAAGCCTAAAGCCTTGGTAAATCCTCCAGTTAATTGAAATAGAATAGCTCCATAATACCGGCTGCGCATGCAAAAAAATAAAAATAAAGTTGTGTGTAATACATATTGCAGAGATCAACAAGTGTGTCGATAAAACTAATTAATTAATACCATAAAAAAGCTGTCTGTTTATCAGCCATCTTGATTGTTGAGATCTGTAAACTGTAATTTTACCAGAGGTCGAGACGTCGCGTGCTGTTGGGGATAAAAAAGAGGTCGAGTACTCAAAGTGGCTTTGCAGGTCGATCAAGCTGCGTTACTGTACATTATTTAAGACATTTAAATATGGAACTTTCAATTAGATAAAATTGCAATAATAGCGTTAACCTTTCAATCAAATATGGACATTCGAAAACTAAATTCAGACACACGTTTTTCCACGTCGTGCTGGAGCTATTGAACATTCTCTCTTAATTTGTTTCTTCAAACTCTCTGCATGTGCGCGCGCGCGCGTTTGTCGATAATTAAAAATGCAATTCATCTCTTTCATCAAATTTCTATGGTATTTGAAGTTTAATTTCAATCAATAAAAATACAACGTGCTTTATATATGTATACGTTCAAGGAAATTCCAATAAACTCTTGACTTTGTAATTTCATCACGCAACCATATGTTCATTTAAGATAGTTTCAACCCTTTGATTATTTCTCAGTCTCAGTCGCATTTTTCTCATAACACAACAGAAAAATCAAAGTTGCACAGAAAAGGGAGTGGTAGTCAACATGAACAAAAATGCTAGGTTCAAGTGTTTGAGTTTTAATTTGACCAAAAAATAATGGTTGTCAATATGAATACAAATTACTTCAACAATACTAGTTTCATTGACATTTTGCTTCTTTTAAATATTATATTCAAGTTGGAATTTTCCTGTGGAAATCCAATTTGCTTTGAATTAACAAAGTCGTCCAATATAACTTGAAATTATTTAAAGAATATAGGACTAGTCAACATTAATAAAAATTATTAAACAACATGCACTCTAGCTTCAAGTATTTGACAGTTGTTTCCTTTAAATATTTAAGTTGAAATTTTGCTATGGAAATTCAATTTCATTCGAATTAATCATGCATAGTCTTCTGCAACCTTTTCAAAAGCTGTGGGTAAAGAGAAATACTTCTTAGATTATTTTTTAATAATGCAAAAGTGTATCTTTGGTTCTTTGTAACTTTACACAAGGTTTCAGTTTAATTTTCTTAATTTTATAAGGTTTTGTTTTCATTTTCAAATGTGGATATATTAAATATACTTTTTTTAAACGATAATGATTATGACCCAAAAAAAAAAATCATCATCATCATTTGAGGTTAACAATATCAAAGTTAGAGGATTAAAAAATATTTTATAAAATTAATTAAGAGATCAAAATCAATTTTATAAAAAGTTAGATGATGAAATATACAATCTTTTTTTAAAAAAATAATTAACTACCACTTTATATATATATATATATATATATAAAGTAAACTATAACTTGTTGTTATAAATAGGTTGGGAGATATTAATATAGGTTCATTCATTAATAAGTATTTGGTTCATAATTCATAAAGCCATAGAATTAAATTTTACTATTGATAAAAGAATTTTATTAATGATGATTTATAAGTATTTTTTTAAGCTTCTCCAAACCAAAAGACATATCTAAATTCCGATAAAATATGTGAGCCCAGCTCAATTAAACTTTTTATTATAAAAAAAAAATAGGCGGGGATACAGCTGATCTAACCATTATTACCGATTAAAGTTAAGTCGTACCAGTGACAACAATAATAAAGTCAAGGCCTGAGATTCACGTTTCCCTTAGAATTTAGAAGAACCCAAGTGCTATTTTGTCCACACTCACGTTTCCAAATGTCGCTATTTCACCAAACTACAGGCCCAACAACTCCCATAGTCATCGGCGACAATAAAAGATTACTTTCTGATATCTAAAATTACCACAAAAAACGCTTCATTCGAATCTCAGGCTCTCACACAGTTTTCGGGGCCCGAGAAGAGAAAATAGAGAAATGGGTAACATCAAGAACGAGAGCTCCTTGTTGGAAGATCTCATTGACAAGGCCGGTGGTTGTGCTGTCACTGATGGAGGCTTCGCCACCCAGCTTGAACGACATGGCGCTTCCATTAACGACCCTCTCTGGAGCGCTCTCTGTTTGATCAAAAATCCTCATCTCATCAAGAAGGTCCTCTCCCTCTCTCTCTCTATCTTTCCCTTTGTGCCCCAATTTCTGCTTCGTCGTTTTTTATTTCGCATTGTTGTTTTGTTCTCAATACTTTAATGGAAATGGGTTTGTTTGTTTAGGTTCATTCGGAATACTTGGAGGCGGGTGCGGATATATTGGTGACTTCTTCATACCAGGTAGGTTTTTGAATCTGCATTGACATTGTTGGGTTTGATTTATTTGTTCTGTTTCCCATTGTATCAACAACAAATCAAGCTTCGAATATACAAGATATATATCCTCGTTGTTATATGTATGTTGTGTTCATTAGAATGGAGGACAGAATGATCTGATCTTTTGCTATCTCCTGAATCAAGCTGCAACAATGTGCTTGCATGATCCACTTACATTGTTCTAAGGGACTTGAAACTGATGTTTGAAACCTTTGTCACCTGATTGGAATAGATGTTCATTGTTTTCTTAGAAACTTCTCTGTAATTCTAGGCCACCCTTCCAGGGTTTGTGTCCAAGGGACTGTCCATCCAAGAAGGGGAATTACTTCTAGAGAGAAGCGTCAAATTGGCTGTTGAGGCTCGTGATAGTTTCTGGAATTCCATTAAGAAAACTTCTGGACATAACTATAGAAGGGCTTTGGTTGCAGCCTCCATTGGAAGTTATGGAGCTTATCTTGCTGATGGATCAGAATACAGGTTCTTTGGGCTCTTTTATGAACTTGGCAGTTTGTTTCTGATCAATGCTTGTCAGCAATTATTTGTATAGTTCTGATATAATTGCAGAATTTAGGCTTGCCATTCTTTTCTTGCAGTGGCTGCTATGGCCCATGCGTTACTTTGGAGAAGTTAAAGGAATTTCACCGCCGTAGATTGCAAATTCTTGTCGAAGCTGGTCCAGATTTGCTTGCTTTTGAAACTATTCCAAACAAACTTGAAGCTGAGGCATGTTCTACCGACAATCAATAGTTTTCATTGAGTAAAGTACATTTATGTTAAGTAAATGCAAATGACAGCCATGTAGGATTCTTGACAAAGCGTATTCAATAATGAAGTGGAGAATTCAATGGTGGTTCTCAAGACCAACAAGATGCTAATTTTATCTAACCTGCAGTGCAGTATTCATTTAAAATTCAGAAAGTACAAATCCTATAATGTGAAAAACCAGCAAGAGTGTCATTCTTGTGTTAAGCATCCTTGAACTCCCGATGATCCAGAGAAAGGGAAAAAAAAAATCTCGAATCCATGATCACATGATGGACAAAACATGGCATTAAGTTCTATTATATTTTCTGTTTTACTTTCTTAGTTTATAGAATCATGAGTCTTATCTGTGATTTACCTTAAAACTCTGTAGTTCTGAAGCTGGCTCATGACAGAATGTTTAATGTTGAAGTTCTTAAAAATTGGTCAATGTATTAAATGTTCAGTATCCAGCGTACGATCTTCCTAAAGGATCGTGTTGCCTCTAGAACTTCTACAATAAGCATTGTCAGATTCTTTTAGGTGAAGCAGGAATATAAAGAAAAGAAATCTGTCTTGATCTGATAGGGTATCAATCATAAATGGAGTATATTTTAATATACTCATGTAGGTTTCTGTGGAAGCTGTTTCTTATCATATATTTTGATTGAGGCCAATGATTTTAAGCACCGAGCCATATATGATTGTTACTGTTTGATTATCAATTCTTTTACTTTCAAGTTCAACATTTTCCCCCCAAAAGTTAACCAACTTGTGAAGTTCATGTGGGCCTGCTTTATTGATGAAACTTGTTGACATTTAAGAAAATAATATTTTTGCAGGCTTGTGTTGAACTGCTTGAAGAAGAAAGTATCCAAATTCCAGCTTGGATCTGTTTTACCTCTGTTGATGGTGAGAATGCCCCCTCAGGAGAGAGCTTCAAGGAGTGCCTTGATGTAATAAACAAGAGTGACAGAGTAAATGCTGTTGGCATAAATTGTGCACCTCCCCATTTCATGGAAAACATCATCTGCAAATTTAAGCAGGTACTGAGATATCTTATACTTTTTATCACATAGAATTCTTCAGACAGGATTCTTAGATAGACTCGGTCTCTGAAGATTTGGTTGGCTGAGTCAAATCTTAAACGAATTTATAAACATGTCTGACAAACTTCTCAACAAGACTCATCTATGACATAGTCAAGGGTATTATTCTTCATAATCAAAATTCTTAGACATGACTATGAAGATTTGGTTGACTGAGTCAATCTTAAACGAATTTGTAAACATGTCTGACAAACTTTTCAACAAGATCGTCAATATTTCTTTATTAGCGGTTTCCACTTTCCTCTATTTATTTATACAAAAATCTCTACTTCAGAAAGACTTCATTGAAATGGTTAAAATATCTTTTTCCAGTTGACAAAGAAGGCAATCATTGTGTATCCTAACAGTGGAGAAGTATGGGATGGTAGAGCCAAGAAATGGCTAGTAAGTCAGGTTCCTTCTTTCTCTCTCACAATCTGCAATTACTAATTAAGGGATGATTCCTAAGCAAACCCAATTCAGATGTTTCAAGTCAACGGAACATAGATATCTAGTTAGTGAGATACACTGTTGACATATCCACTTATTGTTGTCATGGCATGCAAACTTCAATTACTGAGTAGTATGTATTAATCTGCTGTGTTTTCCATTGACAGCCATCAAAGTGCTTTGACGATGATAATTTCGACTGGCACGCGAGGCGATGGCGAGATTTAGGAGCAAAAATCATAGGAGGCTGTTGCCGGACAACACCTTCTACCATTGAAGTCATCTCAAAAGCTTTAAGAGAAAAGTAGAGCATACTGGTTTATTTATTTGTGCCAATGAACAGCGAGATGTTTTGTAGCTTTCAGTGTTCATCCATTGAAAGGAATTTTGTTTCCTTTTCACTTTACACTTGCATAAATTTTCTTCAAGAAATGAAGTGGACAATTCAGAATCAGGAATACATGAGAATGAGATTAATCCAAGTGGACAATTCACTGAGTTTTCGTAGACAAATTTATTTTACATGTCTAATTGTGTAATGAGAATTCTGTTGATAAATTCAGAAACAATAAATAAAGCGAAGCCAAAGTATCGCAAGCTTCTTCTGTCATGAGAAGTATAATCAAGGAGAGGACGTTTTGTAATCATTCAAAAGAAATTGAAAATATGAAAGGTAGATTGACCCAAGGAAGGAAAATCAAGTAGGGACATGGAAATGCATCGATGAGCTAAATTTTGAAGGGGAGGGGGAGGGAGAGAGATGATTCTGAATCCAAAGAGGAAGAAGACAAGAGAAACAGAGAAGGAACCAATGGAAGGATTTGGTGAAACATCTTCATCGCCGCATAATACGTGGCGCCATGCCACATCGATTTCTCTGCTGTTTCTCACTCACATTTCCAGAATACGAGACTTTGTTTGTTCTCTTCTGTGCCTCCAACGCTTAATTTAAACATCTCAGCCCCAGCCGTAAACTACAAATTATTTACACTGCATTCATTCATCATAATCACAAGTCGATTCCAAATAAGATCATAAATGTCAAAAAAAAAATGATCTTGGGTTATAAATTCACAATGGTAAATATATATTTTTGTATTAATAAAAAGTTTAGGTAAGTTAAATGAATCATGTCAAAAGTTCACTAACATTAGGAAAAATTCTTAAACAAATTAAATGTACTATGTCATTTATGGTCTGTTCAATTTAAATGCAGTCATCTAAATAAAATTTTAAATAATGTTATTTTAATTGGTTTTATTCTTATAATAAAATATATATTTAATTTCTTGCCTTTTCTGACTTTATTATCATTAATGTCAAGTTTTTATCAAACATATTTAATCTTAAATTTTTTTGTCTTTTCTGACTCTACTTAAGAATTTCTTTTAAAATTATGACATATTTTTGGGTTTAAAAGCATTTATAATGAAGTTTGGACCCACAATTTGAAGAATTATGGGTTAAATCAATATCAACTAAATTAACATTTGTCACTATAAAGGTGAACATATGTATACATTGGCGAGAATGACATTTGGTTTTCTTGTAAAACAATTATTGACGGACGCTATGGCGTTTTGAACAATGCTATTTTTTTTTAGGCCGCGAACAATGATCATTTTAATAATGAAAACTATTATTGATTTTTTTTTTTTGAGTATGAACGAAGATGTTAATTTTTTAAACAGGACTCAAATTATTTCCACTATATATAATGCATTTCCCAGAGATATTAAAGAGGAAACAACAAATAAAAGTATTGACAAGGTATAATCTCACATGCGGTCAAAAACGATTAGAGTAGATAAAAGCAGTTAATGAATTTTTCTTTAAAATGAGAATATTTATTTATTTTATTAATACTGGGAGATAGAAGGCAAAAAAATGATTCCTTCTTAACCAAGCTTTACTTTTATACAAAGCATAACTATCCTTAAAATGATCAATGGTAGAGAGTAGAAACATAAAAGTATGATTATAAAACATTCATTATTTTCCAATATATTGCATGTGGATGTCTGTTTGCACTTTTGATATAAGAGACAAAAAGATGATTTTGTTAATTAGAAAAGTGATAGCAAAGCTTTCCCAAAACTCATTAGTTTACAGAGAGACACAATCAAAATCACCTAACATTCAGTTCACTCATATTTTTTCCCATGTTCTGTGCAGTTAAAAGTTTCCTCTCCAGAACAATTAAACTATAATTAAGACCAAACTAGCTAACTCCTTTTTAAGTCACACGAACCTCCAATGTTTTATTTTACCTTTTTTTTTCAGAAGTAAGAATTCAATTTTTTATATGTTACTCAATTACTTATAGTAATATATGTTAGGGCCAGGATAATTTCTTGCAATGTTCAGGAGGATTTATTTCTCATGTCAATACTAAGCATGTGTTTGCCCATGTGATTCATATCTCTCCTATTCAATGCATCATTCTTCTGAAAATTTAAAAAAAAAAAGGAAAAATTATATAAAAACGAGATTGCATGCAAGTTTTTTTTTCATTAATTTTTTTAATCTTTTTCTCACATGATAGTGATTGCTCGTACGAAACAAGAAAGAATCCAAAGTCCTAATGAAATTATTATTTAACAGCTAGGCTTGTGCACCATCCAGCAATCAAAGCTAGCCATTCTTAGTTCGTGTAAAAAAAATTATTATCAATATTCATCAGTTTTTTTTTTTAAATACCTCTTATGATATTTAAAATGTTAAGTTGTTTGACTCTTTCAAGTTTTCGAGTGGTAATTTTCAAATAGGTAGTTAGAGATTAATAAGGAAGCCTCCCATTACTAAAAATTACTTTTAAAAATATAAAAAATATCTGATTTTTAGTTTCTAATTTTTTTTTTCAATTACCAATTTAGTTTTTAAACTTTTGACTTGAAACAAACTAGCTTCATCTAATCTTTCTTGATATAAAACAACATTGTTCTTATAACTGACTAACTCAATAAACTACAGATTTGTACTGAATCAAAGTTTAGTCCTATATATGATAAATTAAAAGGAAGTGAAGATCAGAATTGAGAATCCAAAATGAGATCTTTTGTCAAAATATTTAGAAAAAGGTGAAGAGATATGAACCAACCCCAGAATTTACAAAGGATAATGTGGTACGTTCAGAAAATGAGTCTGAGAATCAATCAAATCAAAGATGCAAAAACCTCCCAAATTTACATTTTAAAGATCTTTTCACTGAATGCTTCAGATTGTGCAGTGGCCATTAATGGCCCTTCATTAAAAGCTCTACACTTCTTTTTCCCCCCTTTGGACGACCTCTGCAAAAACCTTTTTCATGGATAGTTGGATACCCAGAGAAGCAAAATAGCATTACCAAACAAAATCAAAAAAGAACGAAAAATAGTTTTTTAATGGAGTCAATGAAAGAAAGCTTTTTGACATTGTTGTAGGTGCAACTAAAAGGCATGAATCTCTGCTTTTTCATTACTCATAATAAAATCTGCAGTTTGCTTGCAGGGGAGAAAGATATGACAGAAAAGGGATTCATGTTGCAGAACTCACAGAGATTTTACGCCGTAGAGCAACAACAATAATAAAAATATATATTAAAAAGATTACTGTTCGTGAAATTTTGCTTTCTTCTCTCAGCTTCTTGCCTTCTATACACAAACATAATGATGATGGTGATGATCAAACGCCATAAATCTGGAAAACCTCCATTGATAGAAAAGAATAATTTTTTTTTTAGAATATGCCAAAATATCCTCTTTTTTCCCTCAGAATCTTCCTTCGACGCATATATATTAATAGGAAGCAAGTGATGAGAAAAAAGTGGGTATTTTGGATGATCGAGCTTCAACGACAGAGAAATACACACAGAAAAATCTAATAAGAGAAGGGAAAGCGACAGAGAATTCTAGTACTTGCTAATTGTGAAGAGGATCTGGGCAACTTGGTACCCTTCTCTTAGTTTCTTCGAAGCCCTTATGGGTTGTGTTGTTGTTGGTGGTGGGACCAGAAGTGTTTCCATGGAAGTAGTACTTTTGGAAGAAGTGATTCTTGTCGTCGTCGTCTTGGGTGTGACTGAGTCTCACTTTGGCGGCAACATTTTCTGGGAATATCCGAATGGCTCCGACCAGGAGGCACGAAGGGTGACAGCAGACCCATATCTGCAGAAGTGAGAGGAGCAAAAGCAGCAGCGGAGAGAAGTGGAGGAGAGTTTTGCCGCCGGCGAAGCACATGGCCGGACAGAAAGCCACATCAATTTTCCGGGCGAGGAGGAACAGGAACCAGACCAGACGGAGATGCTTTGTTGTAAAGCGTTGAAAAGAATGAAACTTGACTCGGATCTTTCTCTAATTTCTGAATCTCGTGTGTGGTTGTGTTGTGGGGATATATGATGCAGAGAGAGAGAGAGAGAGAGAGAGAGAGATGAGAAGGAGAGCAAACGAAGTCAATTGACGGCTCGCTATTTGGAGAGCGAGAGACAGAGATGGGAGGTCCACAAGATACAACACGGATTTGTATCTCAAATCAACCAATACAGTGTTCTGTAAGATTTTTTTCCCCAAGAAAATGAGCATTAGTGTATTACAAACATAAAAGGAAGGTAAGCCTCTAAAATATATGGATTTAAATTTTTTTAAAGTCGTCATCATTGAATGAATTTACGTAAAGATTTTCTCTTTCAGTATTTTTCATTTATTTTATTATGTTTTATAAAATATAAAATCATCTCTATTTTTTAAAAAAAAAGATAAATTTTATAAAATTCATCAATTTTCAATTTCAAAAGATTTAGGGTCCATTTGATACTCCTCTAGAATCAATTATGAGATTTGAAATCATAACTTTGGAAAAAGTCATCCAAACACTCAATTTTTTCATGCTTTGTTTGATTCTTGAAGCTCCATTTTGCATAAGTTAATTTTTCCTCCATTTGGTAAATCGATTTTGCAAAATTAAATTTAAAAAATATTATTGAAATATCACCACATTCTATTAATCAATTTTTTCAATTGAAATTCAAAGACACCCGTAAATAGTTAAATTCTTGAAATATCTATTTTAGTATTCATAATATTAAGTGAAAAAAAAAAATCACCCTCTTTAAGTTTTGGATGCAAGTGTTATACATAAAAAAAGATAAAATTAGGAAAGCTTCATCCTATTTAAGATTCAACACAATGTGATTTAAATTAATTGATTACTAATAAGGAGAATGAAAATAAAGTTCAAAAAATATAGAATTTATAATAATTAAGTCCACGATAAAATTTTTTAAAAGATAAGTTATAAATATTAATTCAAACAGTTAGAAGTAGGAATCACAATTACAAATTGATATTTATATTTAGAATTTAAATATTTTATTTGTAATTAAAACTCATGAAATTGCAACTGTTTGAATTAATATATTTATAATTGGTTTTATAAAAAATTTATCAAAAACATAACTGATATACATTCATTGTTTTGGAAATTTTAATGTCATTCTCCCTTGCTAATATTAGCTACTAAATAATTACTTTGGAAAAAAAAAGATAATAATAGTTCGCAGATAAATCATATTCTTTGGCCTTACTTTCTCCCTCATTATATTATAATAGTAAAATTTTGACATGCTATTTACTTTGAATCTTTTAATATTATTATTTATCTTGTATTTTCTAAAATTTTATAAAAAAATATCAATCCCATTGTTCGCATGAGATGGTATATCTCTGAGCTATAAAAAGTTTTATAATAAAAATTTCAAAAGAATTAATTAACAGATATTGTCGTATGCTTTGCCTAATAGGTGTTCAAGTATATATTATGGTATATGTTAAGAGTGGAACGGATTTGGATCTGGTAAGTAGCTTAAACTAATTCACTGAATAAATGAAAATGTTCCAACTATATTATAGCTATTTGATTTTATTAACACTTTAAAATTATCAATATATTTTTTTCTAAAAATTTAAAACAATTCTCACAATTACAACACCACTCATTTACGTTGTCTCTCCTCAAAAAATAATAGCCACTAACCTGATTTGTGATATGGTAGATTTGATATTTTTTATTATCATATGATAAAATCTTTAACATTTATTTGATTACATCGATAGGTGTTATCATGCAACACGAAACACTTAATAAATGAATGAATTTGTATTAGTTATCAAATTCAAATCTAAATTTAATAAGAATGGGGATGGATAGGGCAGGTAGAGATCGAAACTCCACGCATGAAAGTTTGCAGTTGCACTTGTTTAATTAGTTTAATTATTAGTATTAGTACTATTATAGATGAATTAAGTTTGTGGTGCTTACTTCTTTCTTTTTTAAATTGTAAGACATTCTTCTAAACTGAGCTTAATCCAGTATATAAGACAGTTAGCATTTTTAGAAATTATTTTTTCAATTTTATCCTTCTATTTATTAACATGGGTTTCTTGTGTAGCATGGAAAATATCATTTGTTTCTCACTCTTCATAATTTCTTTCTAATTCAGTTAAGGGTTAAGGGCAAAAAGAGAAGAAGACATGCTATTTTTTCATCAGAATAAAAAATAATTAAATTTTATTGATATGCAAAAAATACATGAAAGTGTCTTAAAATTTAGTCTAAAAGAGTATTTTATTAATTTATACTGAAAATAAAAAGACAAAATTTGCAAGGCCTAAAATTCAACAAGACTAGTGGTCAACATTAGTAGATTGGTGAGGAAGAATATTCAAACCAGCTGGCTCCTAATCCGTGTCTACGTGGAGGGCAACGTAACCTACAAGACCAAGACAACAAGGAGTCTTTAATTAATCATATATATATACATACATATATATAATAGGTTTTGATGACTAAGTTAGTAGTAGGTGATTATAAAAACAAGAAAGAGTGTTATTAACGTAAATCATACACTAATTATACATATATATAAGTGACGTTTAAGGACACCATATGTGAATGAATGTGCTGGTTCACATTACAAGTTTAACAAGGCAATCATAAATAGAATAGTATGTACTTGTACAATACTACACAAAAAACAATAAAATGATGAGCATAGGTTTTTGGGTTTGAAATATGAATGTCGGTGAGAAAGAATTTCGAAAGGTGGGGTCAGGGGCTTGATTGCCATTTCATGTTGTGTTAGATTATTAACATTAATAATCAGTGATTAAATTAGTAGTGAGATTAGATTAGTAAATTAGAGGAGGAGAGAGAGGTAGAGTCGTAGAGAGAGGGAGAGAGAGAGAGAGGGAGGCAAGGTGGGGCGGGAATCACGCGAGCGTGCTGTGTGAGAGAGTGTTGGACGATGAACGTTGACGTACGTAACAAGATACTCTGCTACTCTGCTTTCCCTTCTTTTGTTCTTACTTGTTACCTTTCTTTTATGCAACTCCCTTCAAAAATATTTGAGAAAATCCCATTCAAGAATTTCTTAAGACTTTTAATTACTAAAAAAAATCAAAATATTCTGAAATTGCTATAAAATTCCTAACATGACACCTGCCAAAAGACAAATAATGACAAAAATAACCTTATTTGTCACTTTCTATTATTATATTACTCACACTCGTACTAGCTTATTAAATTATTATTGTTGTCATTTTCTACATGTATACTTATCAAAACGACTTTGACTTGTCATTCCTCACCGCTATATTTGTTGAGATATTACACTTGTTATTTTTCATATTCTTACTTGTTAAAAGGTTGTGGTTAGTTGTCATTTTCCATATGTGTACTCATAAAAACAACGCCACCATGCATGTGAGTCCATGCTTATTTAAAAAATATTACACTTTTATTTTTCACACTAGTTAAGAAATTATGGTTACTTGTTTTTTTTTCATGTCTTGTCAAAATAATACATAGGGCAGTGTAGAGTGTTAGGCCATTGAGGCCACTGCCTTAAGCCTCAAAAAAATATTTGCGAGATTTTATATAATCGATCTTCCCATTAAGCATTAATGTATTTTTACTAAGAATTTAGCTTAAAATTACTTAATTAGAAAATTTTAATATATGATTTTGCAACTCAAAAGGTTAAAAAAGTAATATAAAGATAGATAAATGATAATACATTATATCTCTTAAATAATTTTACCTTAAAATCCAAAACTTCTTTATACGGCCCTAATAATACACTCACTTCTTGTTGTTTTTTTATTACTATGTTATTAGAATATTGCCCTTTGTACATTGTTAGCGTTAGTTGTTATTTCTTATATTTAAGCTTATCATGGCAATATTGTTAACAAATGAAATTTAGAAGGGTAATTTTTGTCTTTTCACATTCATTCTTTTTATCAGACGTCCCTTCAAGGATTTCAAAGCAATTTCAAAATGTTTTGATCATTTTTTTTTTGTAATTAATGGTCTGCAGACGTTCTTGAATGTGGTTTTCTTAATAATTTTCTTGCTACTCTTATATAAGAAAAACAATCATGGTTTTTGAGATAAATCTTTTAATTCCTAATTTTTTTTATTATTGATTTAATTTCTAAACTTTAATTCAATACAATTCAATTTTTAAAATTTATTGAATTAAGAAATCATAAAAATTGAGTTATATCAAGTTAAAAAACTATAAGAATCGAGTTGTTTTGAGTTAATAAAATTTAAAATTAAGTTATTTTAAGTTAAAATTTAGAAATTAAATTAATAATTAAAAAATGTTGAAAAACCAAAAGTTACATTTTCTATCATTGATTTAGTTTCTCTAATTTTTTTTTCTTTTTACGAGCGTTTGAACTTATGTCCAAGTGATTCACTCCATCAATGAACCATTTAGTTTTTCTAATTTTGGTTTAGTTACAATTCAATTTTTGAAGCTTAGCTCAATTTCTTAAATTTCAGACATTTAGTACATTAATCCCTATGCTATCAAAAAAAAAAAAAGTTCATCTAGTCTTTGAAAGGATAAATTTTAACTAAGTCATAAAATGCAGGGACCAATAAATTAAATATGTTATACCTAAAAATTAAGTTGTACAGAGTTAAATTTTAGAAATTAAATTGTAATCAAGTTAAAATTAATGAGATAAGATTATTAATTTTACAAATAAATACATAGACATATATCTAATTTATTAAATATTTCTCAGGATAAATTATAAACATGTAACTGGTTTTGTAAAAAGTATTGTACAAACATTTAGGCAAAGCAAATGCAAAAAAGCTTATTAGAGTCTGAATTAGCGTTTTATTTGTTGTTTGGCTTCTCTCTTTTTTTTTCTTTGCTTTTTGTCCCATTTCCTTATTTCTGGACTGACCGTGCTTGTAATTTTGTTGAACTTATATGAAGTTGAATCTTTCAAGTCATAAAAAGGGAGAGGGTTACATCCGAGGACCTTCCAAAAGAATGAATTATTTATAAATAATAATCAATACAAAATTATTTATTATTAAAGTGATAATATTAATTTGTTTTTTTCTTAAACGGTGACTTATTGCTAATTCTTTTTTATG